TTTCTATACCCTTCACCACTTAAGCTATTTATCCAGACCTTTATTTGTCTAATATTTTTGGCTTGTAATCCAATGTATGTGTGTTGAAGATTGGCTTTGATGGGAGAGGAAGGGTTTCCTGTATTTGGTCGTAATACAAACTTACTCTTCCATAGCTTCCATCATTCTTCTTAAGGCATTTACATAGATCCTGTTTACCACACAAGGACATTAGGCAGGCAAATATCAATGGATATGTAAAACACTAGCAGTAAAATAATTTGTGTTCTTGTTCTTAATTATCTAATTTAATATTTTTATATACAGTCGGTGTTGATTCCTTCAGGATGTCTTCAGCTATCACTAACTATTCACTAATGTAGGGAATGCTGTTTATCTACTATAGATATTATAGTAACTAATATTAAGAAATAATAAATTCAGAAATTTCAATTTTCCTTGTGTAATTGTTGCATTATCTATAAGGGTTCCTATAAACTGAAAGTATATGATAGTAGGAAAGGTTGGCACACCTTGAAGAAACGGGAAGTACATGCTGTATCCAAATTTGTTCCTTTAGGTTGACATGTCAAGTTTGCCAAGTGTCATTTTTTATGCATCAGCCACATACTACAAAAGTATGTCCGTAATTTTGAATTTTGTCTAAATCTGAGACACTTCATGTCCACCTGTTCTTGTCCCAGCAAGTATCGACAAGTCCTGTCATTTGGATCTGGAAATGGTCTGGGAATAATCGTGAACTCATGAGTTTCACTGGTTTCATTTTTTGATCTGGTGTTTTTCAGTAACTTCCACATTGGAATCTGGTAGGTGCCACTAAGCGATGACCCTGTGGTAAGTATTAGAAATTGTATTCTACCTATAGATCAACAACTGGTTTTCTTATTTTATTAGAACAAGCCTAGAAGTTGTTTCACATGTGATATTAATTAAATATACTTTCAATTAGATGCAACACTTTCATTGTTGGCTTGTAACTTTCTGTGAAATTTTACAGAGACTACAAGCCAGTTTCAAATGGTCCATGCGTTCCTTGCAATTTGCTGGCTGACCCAGGAGGAGAATTTCAAGCCAGTCACAGGTTATTTAAGATGATTTGCCTCAAAAAATTCACTAAGAGAGTGATAGCTTACACTTTTAGACCACTTTAGCTGCTCTCCTACAGGACATGGTTTAACTCCCCACTCCTGTGTGGTTGATGACCATCCTTCTTAATTCCCTGTTCATGGATATGATGCTCCCTATCGTATATTTCAGAATATTGAATGAATACAATATGTTGAAATACATGAGCAAATTCCATGTCTCTAAAAATAAAAAATATCCTAAAATACAAACAAGAGAAATAAACCAGATATCTCTCACTTCCAAGTAGTACACTTTTAGATGAATTCCAAGCTTGTTTACTTTCAGTACCCTCTTTCAGATTTTCTGCCAGAAATCTGCGATCTAATGTATGTATTTTACCTATTATATATGTATTTATCCTGCACATTGTATTCTGGGAAGAATGCCATCAAACATCATTGAACGATAAATTCTACTGAACACATTGAATTCTACCCGTGGATACACACCTTTACTTTAGAGCAAGGCTTGAGTTAAATACTTGCACTTAGCATTAACTTTCTTTGTTGGTCATGCATAACCTTATGTAAATTGGTAGCTCCTGCTTTGTTTGATGGTACATGATCCCAGCAGTTTCAGAGTGAGGCAGTAGGATGGGAATATATAAGCCAGTGTGAGCTATATATGCAGAATGTGCCTCATTAAACCACAGACTTAGGAAATGGCATTCAAGTTAAATGCATTGGCTCCTTTTCTACAGGACCTAGGTTTAATTTAATAGGAGTGGTGGCTCACAATCCATCTTACCTCCAAGGGATTTGCATATTCTATCCTTAAAGAACACTGAATGACTATAGTATGCAGACACATACAGGAAAATATACCATATCTGTGAAATTAAAAAAAAATACTAAAATAATCCAACAAGAGAAAAAGCAGATATCTCCACATTCCAAGAAGTTCAACTTTTACATGAACTTCCAAGCATTCTGTACTTTACAAAATTTCTCTTTTCTTCCGCCTTGGAATCTTATTTGAATATTAATATGTATGTGTTTTACTTTTCAAATGACTTTGTCATTTTATAAATGTCCACATATCAATCATTTTCCTCTGTGTGTATGTGTGTGTGTGTGTGTGTGTGTGTGTGTGTGTTGATTAAAAAGTGTCTATGTTTTCTTTTCTATTTTTTTTTACTAGAGATAGTGTTCCCATTTCCCATTAAAATATAGTGCAGTCATGGACCTCACTGAATTTGTTGAATTCCTCAACTTCTTTCCAGCCTTTACAATTGAAAATATGATTATTCCTAACCAGGATCAATCTTCAATCTTGTGTATAAAAGTTTGTTTCCATTTAATAGGACTTTGTTATATAAAATTAAATAAAATAAAAAAAAATCCATCCAACACAAGCGAGGTGCCTGAACAGCTATGAGAAGATCGCCATAGACAGAGAAGGTGTTGTATAATGGGGCAGGTATGCAGGATGCGATCAAGATGATACTTTATTACAAAGACCCTCAGGATGCAAAGCCACAGTCGCCTCACTAGCAAAGAAACTCCAAAGCCCATCTCTTGCTGCAAATTGAACTGTCCTCAATCCCAACAGTAGCCAGTTTCCCATCTGAAGGTTTAATAGCCCTTCAGGTATATCGTGGCCAAGGATCATCATCTGTCTGTCTACCAACCCTATCCACTTATCTATCTATCCATCTATCCATCTATCCATCTACCTATCATCTATCTATACATCCATCTCTCCTTTTCCTCTTGCCTCCTTTTTCCTTGATTCTCCTCTCTTCTTCTCTGCCTTTGAGACAGGGTGTTTTGTAGCCAGGCTAACCTCAAACTTACTATTTAGCTGAGGACTAGCCTGAACCCTAATCTTCCTGCCAGTGTCTCCCTAGAACAGGGACTACATACTGTACAGTACACATGGTTTATGCTGAGGGATCAAGCCTGGGGCTTATTGAATGTTGGACAAATACGTTATCATCTGGGCTATAAGGCTACATCTTCCACACTTTTTTTTTTTTTTAGAAATGCTCATTTATTTTACAAAAAGACTTATTTCATGCATTTAAAAACATTTTACCTTTAATATATTTATTTGTGGTTAATCACATTGGGATTTAATTCTCCTGTCATTTTAATAAGATTATACTTGCTATAAATTTAGTGTAATAGAAAAGCCATATGTTGTAAAAATGCTTGTAGACCTTTGGAAGAGGTAATTTTTGCAATTATACTTGCTAAAAATCAGTCTGGGTAATATGCATGCATTTTATAAATAAACCTTTACAAATAAAAAAGAAAATAACAGTTATTTGTTGTTTATACTATACAACATAATTTTCTCTTTTGCTTCACATGTTCCTATACAGTAAATCAAGTGTTCAAGTACTAGACTAGAACCAGCTAAGTTGTCCTAAGTGTCTGTGCCCGCATGGCAACTACTCTTAACAACCTAGGAGAATGATAGCAAAGAGAATTTTGGAGAGATTTATTTCATTGGCAACACAGGAAATGTATCCTGTAGGATATCAGGTCAGGATCATAATGGGAATGTTAAGTCTGTAGATTTACTCTAGTGAAAATCTATTTTACAGTAAGTCTCCAATGTATTGAGATCTTGCACTAGCTTCCAAGATAGGGAAAATATACCTGAAATTGCTGGAGACTTTCTTTCTTATTAGTCCTATGTAGCTAAGAAGTTTTTTTTCAATGTCAAGATTTATTTCTTAGATCAAGTAATGTCTGAGTGATGGGATATCAGTACAAGTGCTGAAGATTTCGGTTTTTGTATTTGGGCTTTGAACTTAAACTGTCCTTTACCCATCTCTCTTGGAACATGGGAAATGTGATTGAACCCAGGGGTATTTCCATCTTACCTCACCTGCACTTAAGATCCGAGTTTTTCCAACTCCCACATCATGAGGCAGGTATGGTACATTCAAAGCCAGTGTAGCCAATATACATAGATTGTGAATCAAAAACTACTGAGCTAAGAAGAAATGGCTAACAGGTTAATAGCACTGGCTGCTCTCCCATAGAACTGGGTTTTGAATCCCAGCACATGATTTCAGGCAGACAATCCTTACCTCAATTCAAGGGATCTGAAGCCCTATCCTATCATTCTTTCACAATGAGTTTATAGGGCTGGAGATGAAGCTCAGCCATTGAGCAAGGCTCACAACCAAAAATTTAACAATGAATTTGTCGAGTATGCAGATATACATGCAAGCAAGACACCCATTTCTTTGGTAAAAATATACAAAAAAAAAGCAAGAAAGAAACTTGATATCTCCTACTTAAAGTACAACTTTTAGAAGAACTTCAAAGCTTGTATATGTGCTGTCTACTATTTCAGATTTTCTTCCTTGAATCGTATTTGAATCTAAACATGTATTTCATTTTTCAAATATAAAATTAATTTGGATCATTTTGATATCACCAACATATTCAAACATTTCCTTTTGCATTTATGTTTGATAAAAGTTCTATGTTTTGGGGGTTTTGTTGTTGTTGTTTGTTGTTTTCCTAGAGGTAGGATTTCCCAGTAGATCTTGAGTCAGTCCTGGAACTCACTCTATGACCAGGCACCTCATTCTGACAGATATTCACCTTTCTCTAATAGACAAGTTCTGAGATTTATGACCTGTGGCACCATATCCTGGTGTATATCTGTTTTTTAAAGTGTCTGTTTTGATCTGCTTTTACTGTACTTGTGTTTGAGGTGGAGCTAGGTAGATATTAGTTGCATCCATAAAGCTTTCTGTTGAGATAGTAAAACTACTTCTGACTGTGAATAAATGGCTCTACATGTGGAAAACTCAGGCTGTTTCCAGGCTTTCTGGAATTCCTACACTCACAGGAAAAGAGCTATGAATCAAGAAGCTTCACTGACTGTTTATTGTGACTCTGTTACAGAAGGCACCTTTGCCCAGCTCTAGCCCTCCTGAATGCAATGCGGTTGGTCATGGCGTGATTCCTCCACTGGATCCTTTGGTCAGAAGCCTAGAGGCCCTGCCTTTCCAGGGAATCAGGAGGTCCAATCCTGCCTCCACCTCTCCTGGAAACATCTGTGGAGATTCCGGACAGATGTCACACCCAGGGACTTTGCAGGCCCACCTTTCTCTGCAGTGCCAGGTAGGCATTTTAAAGGTCCCTGCATGTATCAATGTTTGTCTGTTCTTTTACTCAAGTTTGGTTTCTGTTACTGGGAGAAATACTGTCCAGACCAACTTGTGAGGGAAGCCTCATGGTTCAAAAAGATACATTCCATCAACAAAGTAAGACAAGGTTTCACCTTGATCCACCTCAGGGAACATGAAGATTTGAACTGGATGTGATAGGCCAGAAGATCAGCAAATGTACAGGCTGTTTGTGGGAATTATTTTGTTTGATTGTTTTATTCTCCCCAAGGCAAAGTTTTGTATATGTTGAAGCCTGCCCTGGAACTCACTCAGTAGAACAGACTAGCTGTGAACTCACAGAAATCTACATCTCTCTGCTTCCCAAGTGTTGGGATTAAATGCCTGTATCAACAATGCCCCACTTGCAAGTAGTTTTAGATTTTAATTGCTATTATTGTTTCATTTCATAGGAATGCATTAGACCATTATTTGAATAATTAGTTATATGTTTTCTAAAAGTTATTTAAAAATGTGGTTTCAAATGTGCTCCTGAATAGCAGTTCCCACATGATTGTATTTTATTTTTTTAAGAGAGGAGATATACAGAATTTTTTATTTGTTTGTTTCTTTATTTATTTTACGTATCAATCCCAGTTACACTCTCCCTCACTTACTCTTTCCCTCTCTCCCATTCTCCCATGCCCTCAGACCACCCTCCACTCCCACCACCCCACTCCACACGTAGGGTGATGCATTCCAGGAAGGGTCACTAAATCTGTCAAGTCATTTCGAGTAGGGAATAGGCTTCCTTCTGCCTCCAGGTTAAAGGGAATGTGCTCCCAAAGTCCATTTGTGCACCGGGTATACATCCTGGTTCCTCTTTCCAGGTCCTTTGGACTGCCCAGGCCTTCTAACAGGGTCATGTTCAGGCGGTCTGATTCAGTCCCATGATGGATTCCCAGCTATCAGTCTAGGGCCCAGTAGCTCCTCCTTGTTCAGGTCAGCTGTCTCTGTGTGTTTCTGAAGTCTCGATCTTGTCCTCCCTCTCTGCATTAGATTCCAGTTCAGCTTAGTGTTTAATTGTGGGTGTCTGCTTCTGTTTCCATCAGCTACTAGATGAGGGCTCCATGATGCAGGATAAGTTAGTTAGGTTGAGGGTTAGGGTTAGGGTTAGGGTTAGGGTTAGGGTTAAGTCTTTGATTTCCTTATCATGAAATGGCATTTATGGTAACCATTCCATTGTTGCTCAAATTGTTAGTTGAGGTCAGTCTTGTAGGTCACTGGATATTTCTCTAGAGTCAGTTTTCTCTTCAAACCTTTAATGGCTCCCTCTTTTATCGTTCTCTCTCTCTTTTCTGTCTCTCTCTCTCCTCGTCTATTGCTCCTCTGACTCAATCTTTCAAGTCCCATGTGCTTTCCTCTACTCCCCCTTCTCTTTCTCCTAGCTCCCTCTACACTCACTGTTGTCCCCCCCCCAATACCAAAATGCTCAGAGACGTTGTCCCTTTCCCCTTCTCTGACTGACCTTAAGTGAATCTCTTAGAATCCTCCTTGTATCCTAGTTTCTCTGGAGGTGTGTATTATGAGCTGGTGATCCTTTGCTGTATGTCTAAATTCCATATATGAGTGAGTTCATATCATGTTCCCCTTTTGTGACTGGGTTACCTCATTCAGAATTGGTTTCTTCAAGATCCATTCACTTGCCTGTGAATTTCTCAAGATTCCATTGTTTTTTGTTTTTTTTTTTTTTTTTTTTTTTTTCTGTAAAGTAGTATTCCGTTGTGTAAATGTGCCACATCTTCTCTATCCATTCTTCAGTTCCAGGTTCTTGCTATTACAAGTAATGCTGCTATGAACATAGTTGAGCATATGTCTTTGTTGCATGGATGTAAATCATTTGGGTATATACCTAAGAAGAGTGGCATTGCCAGACCTGTAGTAGACTGACTCCCTGTTTTCCTGAGGAACCGCCATACTGATCTCCAAAATGGCTGTACAAGTGTGCACTCCCACCAGCAGTGGATGATCATTCCTCTTCCTCCACAGCCTCTCCAACATAAGTATTTTGAAGTCCTTGAAATTTTTTTATACACTTACATTTTAAATAAAAATAATTTTGGTTTTACATCCTAATGTCCCCTTTGGTTACTCAGTTTCTACACAGTAATTCATGATTTCAAGTAATAGACAAGTACCATTTCAGTTGTCATAGGTTTATATTCTTTTCCCTGACACCATCCACATTGCAGTTCACTATAAGTCACTTCTCTCCTTTGGCCTAGTTGCATTCCCCGTTAGCATTCCCCCCCATTAATCTGTCATCTCTACCATCTGATTTCTGTGTATGATATATGTGTATGATTCCACAGAATGCTATAACAGGACATCAGTGCCCCAGGAAGTAGGTTACAGATGGTTGTGTGCTGCTGTGTAGTGGCTTGCTATTAAGCATAAGTCACAAAGGAGGAGCAGCCCATACCATTACCCTGTAAACCCATTTCTCTAGCCCCCTTTCTTGTTGTGTCATATTTCATGTATGTCATCTAATGTATGTGTTAAGGTTAGTTTTGTTGCCATTTGAAGGGGTTTCCTTCAAGGTTTGTAATACTCTTTTCAATAGCAAACCTGTTAACTTTTTTTAACTTCTCAACTTTTTAAACCATTTATTTATATCCAGTGTAGTAGTGAAAAATTTTAGCCAAATGTAAGTTGATATGTGTAAGACAACCAGTAAAATTTTTGGTTTCATGTTCTTTATTAGTTACCTTATTTAATCATTTTTTCATCCTAGTTGAGTGACTCTCCCAGGACCTCTTCAGTTATCCTCACTACCTCTGAAGGTGGGAAAGATGTGTATCTATTGTAGGTATGACACAAAATCACATTAAGTATAAAATGAAAGCATTTAAATTTTCATTGTGTATTTGTTATCTATAAGGCACTTTTACCAAAAATATATGTTATATACTGAGGGAAGGGATGGCACACATAGACAGAGGAAGCAGATGCTTCATCCTGGAGTTCTTCCCATAGGATACCTCGGTAAGATTACCTAAGAGCCTGTTGGAAAGGTCACCAGCACACTGCAAAAGAATGTGTTTTTTCCTATTGAAATTTCCAAGGTTCTCATGGTGCTTTGGGGACCTAATGAGGGAATACTATTGTATTTGTGTCCAGTTGAATTCTCTGTACTGGCCAGGGGGAGTGGAACATGTCAGGGGTCACTTGGATCTGGAAACAGTCGTGGGATAAAGTGAGAACTCATGAAGTTCTCTGGTTTTTAATTTTCCTGTCTAGATGGGCCAGCATCCTCCACGTTGGAATACAAGAAGAATGCCACAGCAGACCCTGGGTAAGAAGTATTGGAAACTGAATTCTGCAAGAATTCACAACTAGTTTCTCTGTTTTATTAGAACAAGGTGAGAGCTCTTCTACTTTGCAGTATTATGATCTAATATAATATACCTGTACTTAGAGTTAACATTCTCATTGTTGGCTTGTAACCTTCTGTGAAATAGTACAGATCACAAGACAGGTTTGATAGTCCATGTAATTCATGCATTTTGGCAGGCTACATCAGAAAGATGGTAAATTAAAAGCCAGTGTGAGACTTATAAGCAGATCTTGTCTCAAAAATCCCTTAGGCTTGCTAAATGGCTTACAGGTTAAGAGCGCTGGCTGCTCTCTAAAGAACTTAGGTTTAATTCCCAGCACCTTCTTACACTCCTGTTTCAAGGGATCTGAAGGCTTATTGTATCCTTCCAGAAAACTGAATGTATATAGTATGAAGACGTACATGCAGGAAAACATCCATTCCCTGTTAATGAAAAAAATATATATATTAAGATAAAAAACAGAGAAAAGCCCAATATATTGCCCTAAAAGAAGTACAACGTTTACATGAAATTCAAAGCTTGTTTAGGTGCTGTACACAATTTCAGATTTTCTCCCTTGAACTCTTATTTGAATCTTCTTTTAGTTATATTTATTATTTTTTTCTTGTTTAGATACTGATCCCTATTCACTCTCTCTCCCCTTCCCATACTATTCCCGTAACCCTCCACTGGGAGGAGTGATGCCTTCCAGGTGGGATCATCTAAATCTGTCAAATTATTTGAAGTAGGGACTAGGCCCTCCCCTCCTGAGCGCTCGCTAAGTGAATATCCTTTACATGGAAAATGTGCACCCAAAGTCCTTTGCTGCACCAGGGATACATCCTGGTTACACTCTCAGGAGCCCCTTAGACTTACCAGGCCTTCTACCTGAGACCCAAGTTCTGGAGGTCTAAATCGGTACAGTATAGATTACCCAGTTATCAGTTTTGGGTACATGAGTTTCACCCCTTGGTGTTCAGGTAGGCTGCCTCTGTGAGTTTCTATAGCCTGACCTTCACCCTTTTTCAACATCTCTCCCTCCCTGAAACTGCATTCTAGGAGTTTGGCTCCGTGTTTAGCTGTGGGTGCTGCTTCTGTTTCCATCAGCTACTAGATGAGGGTTCTATGATGACATATAAGTTAGTTATCAATCTCATTATCAAGGTAAGCCATTATGGCAGCCTTTCCACCTGTACTCACATTGTGAGTTGGAGTCATTCTTATAGACTCTCTTGGCATTTCCCTAGTGGTAGATTTCTCTTAAAACCTGTTATGGCTCCCTCTATTATAATGTCTCCTTTCTTGCTCTCCCCTAATCTTTCCCTAACTCAATCTTCCTGTTCCATCATGCCTACCTCTCTCATCATTTTCTCCTAACTCCCACCATCCACAATTCTCCCAATTTACTAGGGGAGATCTTGCCCATTCTCCTTTTCAGCAACATGTATGTCTCTCTGAGGGTCCGCCTTATGTTCTAACTTCTCTAGCATTGTGGATTGTCGGCTGGTCATCCTTTGCTCTGTCTAAAAGCCATATATGAGGTAGTACATACCATGTTTGTCATTTTTGTGACCGGGTTACTTCATTCAGGATGGTTTCATCTAGTTCCTTCCATTTGCCAGCAAATTTCCAGATTACT